GTTTTAGCCCTCCACATCCCAAGCGGTCACTCCGACACCTTTCGCGGCCGCCGCCACCACGAACGGTTCGGCCACCACCGAAGGCACCTCCCAGAATAATGGCAACGGCTCGGATCGTGATCCGTAGCATTGGCAAAAATTTCCTGACTCGACCGATCTGTGTACAAACGTTCTCCACCAACAGCATGCCCAATCATCTGGCCATCTCGGACAGTTGTGGAGGTGAGTGGCACTTCCTGGCAAGTCTCCACAACCTTACGTGAGGTGCGTTTTCAGGAGTCTATATCACGGACTTCCAAGGAAGGATCAAGGAACACGTGCTGGTGAAGAACTCCTCGGCAAGTTCGGTGGCCATCGATGAAAAGAATGACGTGATGTGCGTTCCTATTCTCTTTTTGTCTCATTTTTTCATTTTTTTCCAGAACTTTGTTCTATCTTTCTTAGGCCGATGTCAGACTTTGCGAATCGCGCGATTCGCTAGCGTCTGCGGTCGCGTCGCGGCCAGTGAATCACTCAATTGGCTGGTACCGCAACGCGACCGCGGACGCTAGCGAATCGCGCGATTCGCAAAGTCTGACATCGGCCTTACATGGGCATTTTGTGGTGTCGTTTCCATCTTTCCCTTTTTTCTTCTTCTTTCCCCGTCTTCGGCCCCCTCTAACCTCACTGATATGTGCATGTTTCCTCTACAGTTCCTGCGCCTCCTTTTCCCCATAGCTTTTTCTTCTATTTTTTATCATTATCCTAACTTGTAGGCTTAAGTGCGGATTGGCAAGTGACGCAGCTCACCGCGTGCATGGCCCAGAGATCAAATTCTGCGTCGTGCGTCGGCCGGGCCACCCAAGTCCTCTCCCCCGGGTCGGAAATTGAAACCATTCATGCCCGGAATAATGAAAAACACCGACTCGTTCATCGCCTGACCCCCCAAGTTATTGTGTGGGCCAAGTCGCACTCAACTTGCCACTGCCACTCTACGATTATGAATGGAAGTGGAATGCGCGGCGCATCCCAAAACGGATTGATTAACACCGGAATCTTTACCTTTTCCCCTTCATCCCGGCTATCTCCAAGCCGTACCTCTTCTTGTCTCATTCTCGTTGTTTCCATTTACGGTTCCCCCGCCTCATGTCTTGGCTTCGAACTTTCTTTCTCAAACTTCTCCTACTCTTTTTTCACATCTCCTTCATCGTTTCGCAATCTTTCCTGCTCTCCCTACTTCAAATTTTTCATGGGCTCATCCTTTCCTTTTCCGGCTATGCTTGGGTGATCGGGAGCAGAAATGTCAGTTTTGTAGGCCATCGATTTCCCGAGGAAAAACGTGACTTTCGTACGGTCTGTCCTCTTTGCTATCGGGGACGTTGGATCACCCATCTCCCATTCCCATATAATTTCCCGTTTATTTCCGCTATATATTTGTTCTTGTTCTCCCATTCTCCCCCGCTTTAGTTCCCTATCAAATTCCCTTCTGTTTTCCCGCAGCATTTTCATAAAGGCGGAGTTTACGATGGCAAAGTGCTCATTAGGAGTGGAGGTAGAAGTGGTCTGTGTGAGTGGGAAGTGTGACTGTGTGCCCAGAATGAGCAAAAAAACAGAGAAAACCGAGAAACCGTAGGACCAGACAGAGACCCTTGAAGTCTTTGAAAAATATCCGCATGGACTCTCTATCGATGCTGCCCTCTTCAACGCTAATACTCTTTCTCCGCGAAACGATCAGAGTCAGACGGCGAGGGGTGGGTGGACAGCGACGCTGGTATGCCCTGCTAGGACCTGCGGCAGCAATAATATTCGATGTTGAAACCGCGTCGGTCGCTCACGTAGGGCCCGCCCGTTTTCGACCAGGTTAACTTCCCCTTCTTCGACCTCCGCCTCATCGTTAAATCCTATTTGACATCCATTTTCTCCTCTCCCTGTCTCGCGCTTCCTGAACATCGCCTTCTTCCTTTCACTAGTTAGTTACGTTGATCGTTTTAGGTATGTTAGTATAATGCAATCGAAAGGACGATCGGTTCACGTTTTCGACATTGCGAACGGCTTTAAAAAATTGGATGTGAGTTTGAGGGAGTTTTTACGAGTGTTCTCTCGTAACCCTGTCCTGATTCAGGTGATTCTGTGTCCGAAAGATCGAGATTGCAGATGAGGTCGACGCGGATGGTTGAACCGTTGAGACCGAGGGGTCAGCTGTTCATGGTTAGCGGCGACAACGTGAAAAGTGCAGTGTGGTGTTACGTCAGGTCTAAAAAGGTATCAATTCTTTATTCATCCAGGTGTCTCTCCTCTTGAATTCTGAAGCAGCTTCTTATAGGCATGGAAAACGCTCAAAGAGTCGAGGAAAACCCGTTATCAGTATATCAGTGTGGCAGAAGACCAGCGGAATACAAGTGAGTTTCCACCGGAAAGTTCGGCCAAAAACCGGTCGTGCTAATTTGACATGACAGCTCTGGCGAATGTTGTCCAATAAATACTATTCCAATTTTCTTACATTTCCTATATAGGGATAAAGCATGACTGGATTTATTAGCATCAAGGGGTATGCTGGTTTCAATGCCAATCAAACATTCTTGGGAAGGAGATTTGGAAGAGGGACGCGTTTTGGAACATATAATACAGTTGAACTTTAAGGGCACAGTCCGCGATTGATCTTTATGGCGGTTTTTTCGTGAGTGAGGTTGCATGGTCATACGGAATTCGTGGCAGCACTGCTGGCTCGATATTAGGTGATAAGGGCACTAATTCTAAGCGCTTGCCTCAACTGCTACTACCGTTGCCGCTTTTACTTGGTCCTAACATGCGCAATGTCTGCGTCCTCCCGTATGACATGCTCTCGCGCGCTTACTCCTCTCTTCGCCCGCTGCTGTGGCTCCTTTATCCTAACACAGGTCGACGCAACAAGAAGAAGGCGGAGCTTGATTTCAATGCTTCTTTGGTTCTTTTCGTTTTCTTCAATGAATGGTAATATATTCAAGCGGAATAATTGCTGGTTTTGATTGCGTATTGTGCCTTTAATCCTCCAAAAGTTGAATGTTGGATAGATCTGTTTGTGTAGATTGTTAATATCAGAACGTCGTACTGACCATGAACAATCAAAGATCTTAAGTAATGCGGAATTTATGGCGCACTCATAAGTGCTGAAGTACATTTTTGCCTATCATTTCTTCAAAATGTAGCATCTCCGGCTTCAGAGCTGTTGTCTTGCTGACCTGTGATGCCGCCAACAATCGCCTATTGCTGTTCGTCATTGACCACACCTTATCACTTATCAACGAGTACGATCTCAGTAAGACTTATCGTCTCGCAGAGCACCTCTCCAGTCCGGCGTCGGCCATCGTAGATCAGGTACGCGTTTTTTTTATTTCTCTAGGCTGTTCGCCAAATTTTCTTTGGCTTTGGGTGGTACTCTAATCCAGAGTTATGTCTCCTAGGCAAATCCATTAATTACGATGTCCCCTGCACCTTCCGACGGCTTATTGAGGGTTTTTTGTGGATTTGGAAGGGTTGGATGCGCAAATTTGGAAGTCGGTCCAAAGGAGCGTGGCGCGATACCAAGCAGGAGTGTCAATCATAAGTTGGGGAAGGAATCGGGGTGCGCTTGCCCCCTCCCCCTCAGTTTTTGAAATTTTTTAAAGCTGCTCCAATTTTTCTGAAGCTTTTTTTCTTTCTTATCCATAAACCGTTATACCTTGGCTGAAAATAAAATGCCAATCCGTCAAATGCGTACTCACCGCTCAAAAATTGCCATCAGCTTTGCCTCCCCATCAATTTTGGTAGTTCTGGGCGCTCGCTAGTTCGACAGCTTGCATCAATCAATGCTTCTGAATGAAATTTTTCCTTTGAAAAAGTGAATACTGAAGGGTGATATTACGAGACAATGAAGCAAACTCTCAAGTACAGATTTGGGTGCAGTCATCGAGGGTTTGGATTAAGTCTTTCGAGAACTGGTATAATTATGCGGCTTCTAGCGCGCATTCAGCAGCTTAGAGGCACGGGTTGCGATAAGACCCTATGAGAAACCCTCACCCTTGAGGTATGTAGCTGGACCCCTACAGAGGAGTGGTTCTACTGTCGCGAATATGAGCGAAAAGGGAATGGATGCTTTGCTTGATCGCTGCGACCGCTGCTATTCTTATCAATCGCGCATATGTGGTGTCTGGCCATCCCGCGTACGACGGGCTCCCTTGCTTTTCCTTTCCTCGCAGCGCTTTGCCTCTCCTCCTGCCACAAACAGAAGGATTATAAGTTCAGGAACATAGGTGGTTCACCGCAACTTTTCTAAGTAGGGGTGCTGGCACGCGAAATGCGCCCAGCGTTCAGCGTTTTCTCACAAGAATTTCACTGTTTTCAGTTATTCCTGAGGCGCGTTTTCCTTTTTTCCCCAACGTTCCTCTTCGATCTTGCCCAACTCGAACAAAAATACCACCACAATCAAATACCACCTAACCCACCTCGATATCGCGATCCGTGCCTTCAACCCACATGCTGTCCGATTTGGGAATCTAAGGGGAAAGAGGTGCCAAAATGGGTAAACCAACACGTACTGTTCGGGGTTTGAACCTCATCATCAGTCTTCCCCCCTTTTTCTGTGCTTTTATGCGACATTCGGAGAGAAGCTCAGGTTTCAATTTTACTATGGTCGCTAGCAAGATACGGGGGGCGTTGTGGTGGCAGTGTATTCAGAACCGAGCAAATCGTATCCTATTTGTTAAAATAGGACTAGACTTCAGACGGGGGAAAGACTCCCCGTGCGCGTTTTTCAATTTCTCCGCATTCCTGCTCCTTACCGGGCTCCCTTCTAGAGAATGCCCCGTAACATGCGCTAGACCTATATTCATGATACCAAGGACACTCGAAAAGAACTTAGAAAAAGCTATCTTAACTTAACTCCGGCTTAGCGCTTTCACATTGGTTCTGATGGTCCGTTAGTTACTGGCTACGTTCGTGTGCCATTCAACTTTCTGCTGCGGTTGCAGGTGGATAGAGCGAAGACAAAGAAGCTCGCAAAAGCACAATGGTCCAGCCTTTCTACTATTTTTTGTCGCTTTATTTAATTTACGGTATTTTCCTTTATTTATCCAGGCAGCTCTCCAAGAAGTTGCTTTTCAGTACGGAAATCTGCTTGTGTTGGACTACGCAAACGGTAAGCTCTGGATTCTGCTCTCTGGAGTGAAAGGAGTACGTCGATTGAAGGAGATTCATTTCGAGGAACCGCTCCATTCACAAGAAGCCCTTGGAATTAGCGCTAGCGTAAGTTCCATTACTATACAAATATCTACTCCACTAATTTTCAAGCTAACTTGAAAGAACTGTGCGCGGTGAGCCCACGTCCCATTATCCCCCTCTCCCGAACCCCCTGAATCGGTGTCCTTTCTAAACTCTATCCGCTTTTTCTACTTCCAAATCTGCTCTAGCTCGAGTTCTAGGTCTTCTGGGAAATCCCGCCCACTTCAGTGCACGCCCCGCCCACCGAGCTCTATCCTTTTCCTGGTCTCTGGTGTCTTTGAAACTGCAAGGCTAGCATTTATACGAACTGCGTCAAAAATGGGGAAGCTCTCCCATGGCATCAAAAATTTTCTCAAATTGATCACCAATTTATGATATGTCATGTCCGAAATCTTCTTTGTTTTCAGGGTGACGAGGTGTTCGTGGCGTGTTTCAACCGCTGTGAAGTCCGTGTGACGAAGTACCTCCACGATGGCGTGCTGACAGCGTTCAACTCGGCTGCCGTTCGTGCGCCGTCAGACAGCCGTCGAAGTGCCAGCGTGCCACGACCGCCCGAAAGTCAGGTGTAGCACCACGGGTGGCCGCGTAGCGCGTTTGTCGAATCGTCCTGTTGCTGCTGCAGAACCACTGGTCGCGGTGGTCGCTTCCTTGTTCGGCTTCAACCAAATGACAATCTATCTGTAGATCTAGAGCAGAACTGATGCCGTTGTGAATTGTGAACTGTAAATCTATCCATCCAAAAAGGCATCCTAGTATCTTCTGTTAGCCATGCAATGCAATATGGTCGCATGTAGTCTTGAAACCTCTCATTTTGTACTGTTGTGATCGGGGATTACTGTAGTAAGCTATACAAGTCATACGGTAGAACCGTTACTGTAAGTAGTCAGTCCCCAGAGCTGGTCAGCTGGCTTTTGTAGAGCTTTTCATTTGGCCACTCGGCCATCCCTCTCACTTGTTCACTTATCACCTGTTACTTTTCGCCTGATATCAGTGCCTTTTCACCTCGTCGTCGACTTTGTATGTTGCCGCGCGCTTATCT